TTTTTTTTTTTTTACAATCGTTTAGTGCAGACAGCACTAGAAGCTGCAGTTTTACATAATTTGGTGGAGAGGAACATTGGAAAGCTACAGTTCATTACATAACAACAGCCACCTTATTGCTTGTCAGAAAGAAAATAATTTCTATTATTATACCCTGAGATTCAATGCTCCCAGAGGAGGATAAATGTGGCACAAAGATTGGATGCAACAGAAAGCAACTTGCCTACTCATTACAGTATGTATTTGTTGCCTAGGGAGAGCATGTAATGTGATGGTGTGGGAAGGGAGATAGAGGTAGAACGAGGGGAGGGGGGAACCAGGAGAAAAAGTGAACCTATGGCCAAACTGAAGCTGTTTAATCTTCTAGGAACCATCTCCCTGGTAAACAAGAATTCTCTCTCTTCTTGACATCTTCAACTGTGAATTGTATTAATCCTGATACCCTAAATATGTGTGCATCAAATGCTCCTCACACGATTTCTCTACTGAGCTGCACATTTTCTATTACATCAACAAAAACAAAGTCATTAAACCAAAATGATGCAAATTCTGCCCTAATGATATTTTTTACATTTTTACACTCCACATGGATAATGTTGCATCAGAAAATGAAGTAGAGGACTCAGCCTTCTGTCTCATTTCCAGTATTAGCAAAATTGTTCCTGCAGCAACTTAATCTGTAGAAGCACTGAGCTCCTATCAAAAGCACAAACCTAATAAAATCCCATAAGCTGTACACATCTAAAAGTTTTGACAAGTTGATTTTTTTTCTTATCTCATAAAAATTTAAAAATTCAAAACTTATTACACATTTAAATAAGGCAAAATTGTAGGATAGTGCTATATAACAGTGAACGGTGAGTTCAGTGCTGCACAAAGTACAGATTCAACCTGCTTGTTACATATGCTCCCTGAACTTATAGCACCTCTCTTTTGAATTGCATGAGAATTTATAAATACATTTTTGAATCAGTTTATGAATTAAAATACATTTGAATTCTTCCTTTCTTTCCATCTCTCCCCACACGCGCTGAAATTTAGCGCGTATAATGCTTTTTACAATTCCATACAGGCAGCTTAAACAGTACATGCAGTATGTATTTTGGTTTTAAGGGTGGGGGGAGGGAATGGTTTTGTTAATAGAAATTGCTTTCCCACTCTTTGGTTGCTGGTGACTTTTCACATCTATAACTGAGAGGCATTTCCCCACCCCTGGGATGGTTATAACAGTCATTTTCTCTATGGCTTTCACGGCACAAAGCAAGAAGCCTTCTCTAACATTATTACAGCCTTAATATAGACTAGTAGGAGACCCTCCTTCATTGCCCTAGTCCCAGGTTCCAACCACAGCACCACCAAAATCTGACAGATTGCCAGGGAAACAAGAGTTCAGAAAACATGGGGCTCAGAACTAAAGAAGTTCCTCATCTGACAAAACTTTACCAAACCCTTTAAAAACTTTCAAGGGATTCTAAACAGACTTGCATTCTTGTCTATTTATAATCTCTGACTTTCTTACCAATCTGCTTATATACGGACAATCCACCTTATTTGTTTTTCACTTTTTGATCTTTTCTCGTGAATCAGATATGGCAGGCAGACCACATACTCCTTCCATTTTGATGTACTGCTGCATAAGTCCTGCAATGCCAGCAATTGTATATAGGTAGTCTGAGCCAAGACTCGAGGCAAGACCATTACCCACAAAACATTGGCTCGGTCCCCTCATCTTGCAGAAGCTTAAAATATCCTGCCCCTAAAATACTGTGCCCATGAGAAATCAACAAAGCCAAGTGCAAAGTCCTGCGTTTTGGATGGAACAGCTGCATGCACAAATACACTCTGAGGAATGACTGGCTAGGCTGCAGTACTGCAGTACAGGTTCCAGAGGTTACAGTCAAGCACAAACTGAATCTGAACTCATTGCAAAAAATCTAAAAGGATACTGGGTTGTTTTAGCAGAAATCTTGCTTTCAAATCAAGGGAAGTGATGATTTTGCATTATATGGCACTGGTGAGATCTCATATGGAGTCTCACACTTCAATAAAGATGGGACAGATTGACAAGAGTCCAGATAAGGGCAATCAAAACTATTAGCTGCATAGGAAACATGACTTACAAGAATAGGTACTTATTTCAGAGAAAAGAAGATTGGGGGAGTTCTGATAATGGTTTTCAAACAGCTGAAATGTAGTTATGAAGAGGATGGGCAGATTATTTATTCTCTGTGCAGCAAGGGAAATTTAGGTTACATATTTGAAATAATTTTCTCACTGTAAGGGATATTAGGAAGAACTTTTGCACTGGAACAGGTTACCTAGAGAACTTGTGACATCTCCACCCATGGAAATTTTCAAGAGCAGGTTAGACAGACACTTGACCGTGACAGTTTAGTCAGGGATGATCCTGCCTGGCTCACAGGTTTTTAGCAGATGACTGGTTGAGGTCATTTCCTGCCCTATTTTTCTATGAATCCATTAAGTACTGGCACACTTTTAGCTGAATTAAATGTAAGTGGGCAAACATTATTTAAGCAAAAAGGTACATTTTTTTAAATGCACACATAATAATATGCATCATATAATGACAAAATGTTACTGTAAAATTAATCATAGAATCTTAGGCTATGGACAAATGTACCCTTTAACTACTTTAAAAGGGGAGTTGGAGTTGCTGCTCCAGAGGGTGCATCAGCTGTTAAATTACTGCAGGAAATGCATCATAAATTAGCTGAATTACTGTAATGCTGCTGCATTGAGTTAAAGTTGGAATGGTTTTGCTATGCTGTAACGGTTACATGGTAACACCTTATATCAGTATCATTTTATATTGATACAATTGGGCTCCCTCTATTTAAACAGAATCATAGAAAAATAGGGTTGGAGGAGGCCTCAGGCCAATGGCCTGTTCAAGGCAGAATTATCCTGGTCTAAACTATTCCAGGTAAGTGTTAAAACTGTTCTTAAAAACTTCCACAGACAGAAATTCCATGATCTCACTAGGTAATCTGTTCTAGTGTTTAACAGCTAGAAAATTCTTACTAACATCCAACCTCAATCTTCCTTCTTTCAATTATGTTCGTTGCTTCTTGTACACTCTGCAAACCTAGGGTGCTAGTACACATGCCAGGAGGTTGCTCTGATGCTCTGAACAGGGCATTAGAGCAAACTCGATTAATCGAGTCTGCCGGTGCATGGTAATTAACAAGCTCCAGCCAGCCTCTGCGTCTCATGTATCAGTGTCCCTGTGCTTCAAAATGGTGGTGGGGCACTTTAACTAAAACTTATTTGATAAGCTTAGGTATAGTGCGCCTGCCACTATTTTGAAGCATGGGGATGTTGACACATGAGACGCTGCAGGTGCTTTAGAGTGGCTCTTGGAGCTGCTCTAATTAAAGTGCTCCCTCCCTCTATCCCCAGAGCAAATGTAAAAACACCCCTACAGACTAGTTGATTGGCCCTAACTGCCCCCATGTCCCCTCCCCACCTTGCCACTACTGCTTATCCTCAATCACAACTCTGGCTCCAGCCCCACTCTGGCCCCCACATTATCAGACAGCAGTGGTTGTGGCCACAGCTGCTCCAGCCCCAGCCCTAGCCCCAGGCTCTGGGTTGGAGCCAGAGCCAGGGAGAAACTGGTGAGGCCTCACCAATGGTGAATAACCAAGAAAGTCTGGCTGTCAGACATTTATAACAATATATTCTCTAAACATATATCCACAACATATCTTTTCTAAATACTTTCAAAGGCAACAAAAGAGAAACTAAACAATTCAGGAAATCTGCAGAGAGAACTTAGCGCACTACAATCAACAGTAACACTTTCAAGCAAATTATCACCCCAAAATGAGCCACAAAATGGCTATCCAGCCTAACAGATGTTAGTTATAAAATGCAGAATATCTTTGTAGTTCATTTGTATCACTCTCTAATTTAAGCATGTGTTATTTTACATAAAGGGTGATATTTCTTGCACAGAAGAAAAGGAACTCTCTGGGTGTGAACAGATATAACACTCAGAATGATCTGAATAGACTTTAAACCCCAAGAGTCTAGATGTGCATGCCACCTGAAACCAGTTTAAACTTCCAGGAACGTTTCAAAAGCATACAGAGAAAATAACTTTGAACTGGTCCTCCTTGAACCAGTTCTATGTTGTGGGGACACACAGCATTCTGTGCTAATGTCTAGAGTCAGTCTTCAAAACATCCCAAATTGAACCATCCCTCACCTCCCTCCACCCCTCAAACCCATGCAGGACACTGGGGTTTCTCCAGGGTGCAACCAGGACCCTACTGCCCAAAGATCTATTGCCTACAGAAACCATGGTGTGCAGTGCTAGGGAAGCAGGAAGCCTCTGTGCCAGGTTCAGTTTCCTGCTAGTAACCCTGAGGCAGGGGTCCCAGCTTCCTTGGGATGAAATACAAGTAGACAGCTTCTAGGGTGGGGGTGGTCTTTGTAGCCTCCTGCTTGTGGTGAATGGCTGGTTGTGCCTGTAACAGTACATACTTGTCAAGTGCTCATGGTGGTGCCAGGGAAACAGCCATGCACAATGGGAACTTATAGAACAAAATGGCTGTCCATCCCATGTTCAATGTGAAGTGATTACCCATTAGCTGTTAATTGTTCCTCATAGTCTGTCGTGCACTTCTGGAACTAGCTCTCCCTGGCAGGTTCCACAGTGTCTATGCAATTGCTGGCAATACCCAAGGAGTTCTGGGTGTGGGGAAGGGTAGAGCACCCAGCCCCC